CAAGGAGAGGATGGGAAAAAGGAAGACACAGCTAGAAGATAAATCGTTGCCTTGTGATGCGGCCGCGGTGAGGATTCGGCCGAGAACGCACGAGCTGACTAGCCAAGCCTTTTCGGGGCTGAGGCGAGTCCTGCGGGTCTTCCATTCTCAGTTCCCGCGGCCTCCCCGGCCCGCCCTCTGCCAGAGAGGTCCTGCAGAGTCTAACCCAAAATGAGAAATGCTGGGGCGGGGGCCGACAGTTAAGAGTTTAGACCAATCAGCCCTCGGCCTCACTTCTCTCGACCAATAGGAAGTGGGCTACGGCGTAGGGGCGGAAAATGTGGCTACATAAGCAGGCCTCAGAGCCAATAAGTCCTAGGCCTCATTCCGGTCAGCCAACCGACGGCGTGAGCGGGTCCGGGGGCGGGAGGCCAGAGCAGCTGTCAGGCCGAAGTCCGGCTAGGTACGCGCGGCGGGGTGGCTGGAAGAAGCGCGGCGCCCGGCCGGGCCCTGGAGATGGTCCCCGGCGCCGCGGGCTGGTGGTGTCTCGTGCTCTGGCTCCCCGCGTGCGTCGCGGCCCACGGTGAGCAGCAACGGGCGGGGCTACGCTTCAGGGCGGGGCTGGCGGACCAGCTTGAGCGCGTCCTGGGCCGGGGGCCCCGGGTCACCTTGGGGACCCCGCGAGTTCGGAGCAAGGCAGGTTCAGACACTGGCACCTGGAGTGGGTGGGTAGTGCTCCCCAGGGAGATTAACTGGGGGCGGCCTGAGGCTGGGCTGTGAGTCCCCAGCTACCCACGTCGAAGGAAGGCTCCCCCTACCCCCACTAGCGCCGACTTAGGTGGCTGAGGGGGGCGAAGAACAAGGAACACCTAGGGGTACTACAAGCTGGAAATATGTGAGCACTCACATACATAAATGGGACCCTGGAGAATGGAAAGGCTACACACTCCAGTATTCTGGCCTGGAGAATTCCATGGACTGTATAATCCATGGGGTCGCAAAGAGTCGGACACGACTGAGCGACTTTCACACTCACAGGAATACTACGAGCTGGAAATATGTGAGCACTCACATACATAAATGGGACCACACATTGCTATATGTGGGCTTGACACGCACTTAGCACATACGTACACACCAAACCTGTTTGCACCTACACGAGAATATAAACATACACCCATATACGTACGTGAGCACATGTGTTTATCTACACTTAATTTACCAGATCAGAGGCTAGGCAAAGACGTGTAGGGAAGAGGGGAATTTTAGTGCTAATCCAGGAAGGCCTCCTGGGAGTGTATTTCTATTTGACGGGAAGCCTCCACTCCCAGGACAAAAGGCTGTATGTGTAGCCCAGTAGCAAACCAGTGGACCTCTACCTGGTGGCTGATTAGGACGTAGAAAAAGACAGCTAAAGCCACAGTCGATCCCAGCCCTGACACACAGTAGTGACTTGTGGCAGAAGCTTCCACCCTTTCACATTACTCAATCTCTCTGGGCTAAGGAAACCAGCGACTTCAGTTCAGGTAAAACATTATACTTTGGTACTAAAGAGATCCACATCCCAGAAAAATCTAGTTGTTCTGGCAATTCCCTGCTGGAAACAGTTGTTCATTCACTCAACAACCTTTTAGAGCACCAATTATAGTCTAGCCACTATGTTAGATAATGTGGATACAGTATTGAATGAAATTACAAACTTAAGTCCTTGTTCTAGTGCAGGAGACAGACAACAAACAATAATTCCAAATTATGTTAAAAGTGTCATTGGAGACAAAGTACATTTTTGAAGGGGCATAAAGGGAGGGCAGTCACAGGGCAGGTTTCTCTGAGAAAGTGATCTGATGGATGAATAGGAGTGAGCCCTATAAAAAGGCAGAGGTGCGGTATGGTGAGGGAACTTGCGAGACTTGGAGATGTGAAGAAACTGGAGGCCAGTGTAGTTAGAACATAGGAAGGGAAGAGACGAGGTTGAGGTAGCCAACGGCCAGATCAAGCAGGGCCTTGCAGACTAGAGTTTAGGCTTTAAGTGCAAAAGAAAGTTCTTGAAGGGTATTGAAGCTCTGGCAGTGGTGACATGATCATATCTGCTTTAAGACATTTTAAGGAAATTCCTGGCAGTTGTAAGGGGAATGGACCTTAGGGAGCAAGAATGGAGGCTAAGATAGACCAGTTAAAAAGCTGCATCAGCTAGGACAAGAAATGGTAGCGACTGGACGAGGGGGAAATGGCAGTGGAACCAGATTCTTTTTTTTTACAACAGCTACCACATCTACCACCTTGAAAACTCTCAAGTCTGCCTCAGAGCAAAGATGAGTTAACCCTCAGAGAAGTAACACTGGAACTCTGTCTCCCTGGCTCACCTGTGTAAGCAGCAACAGCTGTAAATCTCTGGGGTCACTAACTCTGTCTGCATCAGTTCTATCCTTCCCAGGGCGGAGACCATCTATCCTACCTACTTCAAGGACACAGTTGGCAGAAGCTGGGTCTCTGGGCCCAGATCATTAGCCAGCCTAGTTGAAGGCATAGGGTCCATGATCTGAACCTGAACCAGCTTTTCCCCTGGAGGCTTCTCACCTGTACCTTTTACCTTTCAGGCTTACGCATCCATGATTATTTGTACTTTCAAGTGCTGAGTCCTGGGGATATTCGATACATCTTCACAGCCACGCCTGCCAAGGACTTTGGTGGTATCTTTGTAAGTTCAGGGAGGCCCCCTCATCTCTGATGCTGTCTCCACATTTCCCCCTACTAAGTTGAGGTGACCTTCATCAATTCAATCAATACCTGAGTGCTCGGACAGAGAAGGGGACAGAATCCAGCTCTGTCTTCCAGGGGCTAGAGCCAGGAAGGAAGGGCTTCTGGCTGTTCCTCTGGGTATAATACAGACCTGGGCATCACAGAGGGAAAAACTGTCTTCTTAGGGACATGAAGTAGTTAAAAAAAAAAAAGCCAAAGGCTCTGCTAGCTCCACCACTGAACTATTAATGTGTGACTCTGGGTCCATAGCAACTTCCCTGTGTCTGTGACAGGGAGGGTGGAAAACATAAATAAATAAAATAAGGATTTGATTTTAAAAAAAAAAAAGACAAAAAGGGAGGGTGGGATAGGACAACCAGACAAATTGTGAGAATTGAGTCAAAGTGCTCTAGCGTTCAGCACACAGAAATCACACATTTCCTTCAAATTTTTGAGGAGCTGATACGATGGAATGATCAGCCCGGTCCTAACCCCTCCCCACACTTTCACCTATTTAAATCTTTCAGCACACAAGGTATGAGCAGATTCACCTTGTCCCTGCGGAACCTTCAGAGGCCTGCGGGGAACTCAGCAACGGTTTCTTCATCCAGGACCAGATCGCGCTGGTGGAGAGGGGGTAAGGCGCGGACAGGCACAGGGGGGAGGGTCTGAGATCAGTGTTGGTGGTGATACTTTGAAATAACTGTTTTTAAATAATTCACCTTTTTAAGAGTCTTTAAGAAATGTCTTAAAATTATCCAAGCCTTTGGCCATTTACTTGTGAGCCTCTATAAAAAAAACAGTCCTCCATGGTCAGTCCTTCTTTCACCGTCCTAGGTTGGTGGTCTGGGGCGGGGATAGCTAGGACCCTGCCTTTTCTTTGGTCTCATCATCACCTCTTCCAGGGGCTGCTCCTTCCTCTCCAAGACCCGGGTGGTGCAGGAGCACGGCGGGCGGGCAGTGATCATCTCTGACAACGCGGTTGACAATGACAGCTTCTATGTGGAGATGATCCAGGACAGTACCCAGCGCACAGCTGACATCCCCGCCCTCTTCCTGCTCGGCCGAGATGGGTGAGGGGTCCTTGTCTCTGGCTGTATTAGCACCAAGCTGGGTGCCACAACTCGGGGAGGTCAAGGGCAATTACTAGTCCCTACCCACAGGCCTCATCTGGGGGTGCCCTGGTTGGAGGGCCAAAAAAGTCCTCAGGCTCTGGATCTCCCAAAGTAATGGGGACAGTGGGGCATGATGGGGTGCCAAGAAAGTGACCATCACCACCTCTCTTCATGCCCTCCCAGCTACATGATCCGCCGCTCCCTGGAACAGCATGGGCTGCCTTGGGCCATCATTTCCATCCCAGTCAATGTCACCAGCATCCCCACCTTTGAGCTGCTGCAACCGCCCTGGACCTTCTGGTAGAAGAGTTGGTCCCACATTCCAGCCATAAGCAACTCTGGGCTGGGAAGGGAAAATCCAGGAATTCTGCTGTTCAGGATTTGGGGATAGCATTTGGGAACTGGTGGAGCCAGGTAGAGGAAAAGGGCTTGGGCCTTGGCTCAGCTAAAGGAAGCCACACCACTGGCCTTTCCTCCCTTGGGCTCCTAAGGTATCTCATGCTATGGGAAGAGGCAAGAGCCAGGCCCCGGGGCTGGTGGGCTAGGGTCTGAAACTAAAGGGACCAACAGCGGGTGGTTTGAGAGCCATCTGAGACCTGTCACACCCCACCTGGCTCCAGCCTCCCCACCCAGTCTTTCACGGCAGTTGCTGGAATGGTATAAGGAGCTGGTATTGAGGACTTAATAAACCCTCAGTGACTTTTTAGCAATAAAGCCTCTCATCAGGGTTGCAACTGTGTCCTAGAGTAAAGCTCACTGGGGTGGGGGCACTTGGTCCCAGGCTCTTGTTCTGAAGGGAGGAAACTAAGGCCCAGAGAGGGTACAAGGCTTGCCCAGGGTCCTTCAGGACCAGTGCTCAGACTGCTAATCCTGGATCCCAACAGCCTCCTGCTCAAGAACTCAGGAAGTGGTGGTTCAGCCCCCGAGGAAAAGCCGCCTCATTCTGTAGCCTGGTCCTGGGGATCCACACTGGACCTCAGAGGAGCCCTGCTCTTAGACCTGAGAAACATTTGCACAGCAGATACAGACGAGACGAGGGATGAATCCAAACTAGGGAGCTGGAGCTCCCGTCTCCTGTTGTCACCTGCTCTATTCTGTGCACGTTGGCACCATCCATGTGACTGTTGCCTGCTTGAGGCAGCTTGTCAAGCGATCCTCCACAAAGCATTCCTGTAAAGGCCTGTCACCACTCATGTTTTATTGAGAACACTGGGCAGGTGGGGAGGAGGGGGTGCTGGCTGCTCTGAAGGATTAAGAACCCAATAGGCTAGTCAGACAGATTCCACCTGCTCATGATCCAGGAAAGGGCCCGTGGGGCGGCACCTGGCCTCCCTGGGCTCCCTCAGCAGGGGCATCGGCAGGCCCCTCAGGGAAGGTGGGCAGAAAAGAATTGCGGGTGACAGGTTACAATTTCCACAGCTTCCAACCCAAGAGCAAGGGGTAGTGCTAATCTGGGGAGGAGGAGGACAGTCAGGGCTAATCTTGAATATCCAGCCCAGCTCTTCTAGGTTTCTGGAAGACTTGTGTTCCTCTGTGGAGATCCTAAAGATGGAGATTGAGGCCAGGAGAGCCCCTCACTGATGAAAGTTCTAGAAGACTCTAGAACATCCCCAGTTAGGGAGCAGAGGCCTTCCCCCCCCCAGGTCTCAGCCATGCTGCTAGAGTCCTAAATGGAGGAGGGGTGGTGATCCCCCATACCCCTCGCAAGGGAGGCAGAGACCTCTTCCATACCCTGTAAGGCTAGCCACTGTACCAGGGCCTAGAGGCAAGGCACAGGCACAGAGATTCTGGGGGAGGGGTAATCTCTACTTCCCTGATGTCTAACAGTGGGCTGGGGAGGTGGGGGCAGGGGGAATCCCCGTGGTTCACTGCTCCCCACAGAGAGCCTAAGAGAAGGTGCAGTGGGCGCCACTTGGCCTTCCCAGCTGTGCCAGTGGTCAGGCTACAACAGAGGGAGGCAGGGAAGACGGTAAGGGCATCTTGGCCCCTCTCTTCTTCAATGCAGCCAGGCTGTTCTCGGGTTGCCACTGTTACTGTCCCCCTCCCCCCATACTGAGTTGAGAGGGCTGAAGCCTCAAGCAGATGAATAAGTGGGGCCATGGGGAAGAAACCCTGATGGGCCCTGACCTTGGTTCCAGCTACTTCCATCCGAACCTCGGGGGAAGCCAGCTCTGAGAGGCTCTGACAGCGCAGAGCCGGAGCGACTCAGCAGCAGTGTCCAGGGCGTGAGGTCTGGCAGCGGGTAGAGGGCCTAGGGTCCAGCCTGGCTTACCCTCTGGCGGAAAGAGTGCTGAAATGGGGGGAAGCAGGCAACAGGAGTGGGGTGTTCTTTCCAAGCCTCTGCTCTGGGGCAAGGCCGCCTCTTCTGCAGGGTCTGGGGTAGGAGCGCTTCCGAGCGGGGTGACATCACACATCAGTCATCTCATCCCCCAGCTCGGCGTCTTCCGGCTCGCCTTCCTCCTCCTCCTCCTCCTCCTCCTCAGAGGTCATGTTGGGCTCATCGGCCTCTGCCAGACATTTGGGGCAGGAACAGACGAACAGATAGTTCTCCCTGCAGAGGGCGAGGGGGGGTGATGGTGAGGGCACAGTCAGGCAGCCACCGGAATGGAGGACCCCAGAGCCCCGCTGCCCACCGCAGCCCCGCTGGCACCTGAGGATCTTGTGGCGGCTGTGGCGGCTGCGCTCCCGCTGACAGCAGTCTAAGTAGCTGATGCAGATTTCCTAAGGGGCACGAGAGAGGTGGGCTGATGGTCTTCCTAACAGGTGGGGTTCGGGCCTCCCCAACCCCTGCCCTGTGTCCGACCATCGCCTCGTCCTCAGGAGCCTGAGCTGCCGTTCAGCGAGAGGGCAGGCCGCCCCAATCCACCCCCTCGCGCTCAGGGCAGGGAGGGTACTATGAGGCTCTAACAGTCTGAACTGGGGGCTATGGCTGGGCCTCAGGCCATGGCCAAGGTCTGTCTGTGGCTGGGGCAGAGGTTATCTTGCTGTGAAGCTACTTGCCCTGAAAGAAGTTTCAAGCAGACTCTGTGTACTGCTCTAAGAGCCAGGACCCCAAATCACACTAGCAACCCACAGTCCGAGCCACAAAGGGCCATTTCCTGCTTCCTTAGAAGCTGCAGATTCCTTGATCAAAAAGTAGCTGGAGACAAGAACTCAGGCACACAGTACTCTCTTAAACACTGCTGAGGCTTTCTGGAGTTATTTTTTGAAGTGAGGTGGGGTCAGAGCACACTCACAGGCAAGCCTAAGGTCCTGCAGCATGTGGGGATTCAAACCAACAGCCTGAACCCGGGGCTGGAGCCACTGCTGCTCCTGATTCCTGGGGAGAACTTGCCAGGCCTCCTGCCCACCCACCCCCACAGCTACTTGCCCCCTCACCTCTCCTGGCTTAATATCCTCCAGGGCGGTGACATGCAAAAGGAAGTTGTTTTCTGGGAAGGAGGTCTCTGCATTGGGGACACAGCTGTGGTTGCCTGGGTCATGAGAGGCAGATAATGAGGATTTGTTGACTAAGAAAAATAACAGCCTTAACTGTGCAGGCCCTGTCTTTCCTTGTTCTCTGATCCCTGCTAGGGCTGTGCAGGTCCTGGGGCCCTGGTGTCCTGTCTCCCTGTCCAGCACTCTTTCCTGAAGACCACAGGCCCGGATGCACTCCCATATCACTGCTCTGCGCCACCTGCCATGCCTGGCCCTGCTCGTCTCCTCACTGGTCCCCCTGATCCTCGGCTGTTCCCAGTGTCTCACAAAGGGAGGGACAGGGCTGTGAAAGGGATGCCCGTGCCTGAAACTTAACCTAGGCCTATCTGTTACTGGTAACAGCTGGAAGCCTAGTTTGGGAAAGGTAGTGTCCCCAGAGCCTGGGAGGAAAGGTCTGTGGTGAGGAGAGCAGGGGGTGGGAGGCCAGGATCTGGAAGACAACAGTCCGAATTGGCTCTGTCCCTCCATCAGGTGCTGATGAGACTGCCTTCCAGCCTGAGCTCCTCCTGGGTTCTTAGGACACTCAGGACTCACAGGGCTATGGTGGGGCAAGACCCAGGGTTCCCTCTGGAAGAATCAGAGCTCTGTGCCCTGCCTGAGCACTGGGCCTAGCGCATTGGAAAGCAGGAGCAGTCCAATAAATGAATGAAAAAGTGATATGGAAGACAAAGAGGAAACCCTCAAGCTCAGCCCTAATCCCACTCCCAGACTCAACTCTACCAGCCCAGAAGGGATCAAGAAAGGTGAACTGCAGCATGAGGCTGCGCCTTCTCAATGCCGGGACTCACAGCAGCTCTGCAGCATAAAGAGGCCAGATCCTTCACAGTTAAGAAACTCGCCGGTTGCTGTAAGACAGTAGTGTGCAGATGGTATTACATCCATTTCATAGGTAGGAAAGGGAAACTAGGCTTCTAAGGACAGGCATGGCTCCACTGTCTTGCCACCCAGTCACTGCCATTTACCTGACAATGCTTCTCTGAGGCACAAGCTTGCTTTTCCATACGTGATACCAACTTATAATCCAGCCCTCTCCACCCCTGCGTGAGGCCTCTGCATGGACTGCAGGGCCATTTCTCAGGTATGCCCTGCAGACAGGCATGAAGCTTCACACAGGGATTACCTTCCCCAACCGTGAACCCAGAGCTCCCTGGGGGAAGACTGTGTCCATCGACCGACTGATGGGGGCTTCCAAAGTCGGGTGAGGCCAAGGCTCCATCTCACCAACCTGCCTCGATGTCCTTGTACAGCTGGTCAATGAAGGCATCCAGCTGCTCACGGTCCTGAGGCTTCAGCTCCAGAGCATCACAGGCATGGACCCACTGGCTCAGGGAGCTGGGGGTCCCAGGCAGCCGTGGTTGGAGAGGAGAAAGACCCAGGTCACAGGGCTCTCCACCAAGCAAGTTAAGTCCATTTCCTTCTCCCGAGAAGGGGTGGGGGTGGGGGTTGGGGTGGGTAGGTGTGTCCTTTCCCAACAGACTAAGTGTTCCCAAGAAAGACGGTCTGTCTGACCCTCGCCCCTGAGTTTAGTCCAGCATTCTGACCAGAGTCACACCCTGCCCCGCCCTAGTCTTGAAAGGAGCTTGGCTCCTTTTCTCAATCGCCCATCCCAGCCCTGAGGGACAAGTCCAAGAGCTCTGGAACATTCTCTCCTAACCTGGTCCCAATTCCTTGGCCATTGGTCCCAACAAGAGCAAAGAGAGACCGGAATCCATCTGGAGTGAACCACTGTGGGGAGAAAGGAGAAGGGCACTCAGTGGGCAGCCACTTGCTCTTCTTCCTGATACAACTCTCTGTTGAGGAGGTTTGCTGCGAGTCAGTCCCATCCCAACTCTGCAAGACCAGGTCTGCTCTCGCTTAGCTGTCCCAGGCGGAGACGCTGCCCTGGTTGCTCCCGGAGAGCTGGAGTGACTGGGAGGCCACTGCTCCCGCCTTCCCGCACTCACCTGGCTGAGTGCTTCTTCATAAAGCGCCTCTGTGAAGAGTCTCCGCAGTAGCTCCAGCTGACCCTGGTTTAGGGAAGGCAGGGAGAGACTTGCAGCCCTGGGGTTTCCCCTTAGCACCCAGGCAGGGCCCAGAAGACCATGTCAGGGAAGGAAAAGGGTGAGCTCTAAAAACTGAGCTTTCCCTGGGGACAAAGGGAAGCCACGGAGTCCTGATCTCCAAAGAGCCTTGTCAGTCTGCTGGCCTCTTCCAACCCAGGATAGCAAACCCCAAATTCCTATTTTCTAGCACTTATACCAGCACCACCCTCCAGAGCAGCTTGACGCTCCCCTCCTTTCCCCAGATTCAGTGCAGGAAGGCCTGCCCCAAAAGCCCTTTTACACACCTGCCGCCACCTTCAGGCAGCTCCTGCACAGAAGTCTACTCTCCTCAGGGAGAATGTGTAACTCTGTGATCTGGAGCGAGTGCTCAGTACATGGGCAATAGAAGTCTGTTCCACCCCACTTCCTAACCTGCAGACCCCCCCCCCCAACCCTCCATTTTTCATTACACTTGATTTGCCCATTGCTATCCGATCATGGGGTCCTGCCTCCCATATCAGGGAACCCAGCCCCTCCATCCTTGGTCATCACCCCACTTTCCAATTTTAAGTCCACATTAGGCTATGAAATTAAACAGCAGCAGAAATACAAGTCTCTGAATAGAGTTTTGGACCCAGGTGTGAACTTCTTCCTGTGACTGGGAAGGGAGCAAGAGTGAAGCTTCCTCCAGGTAGCCATAGACAGCCCAGGCTATTGGCAGGAGTGGGAGGGTCATGGGGGGAGACCAACCTTGAATTTGTCCCCTAGGAGTTTATGGACAATTTCCTCCTCCTCATTAGCAGTTTTATTACAGAACTGGGAGAAGAGCCTGATCCAGCGATCCTTATCCTTAGCCTGTAGTGAACAAATAGACTTCAAAGTCAGGTTCATAATGCCCATGCATACAGGTGCACAGATGGACTCATGGACACACTCTTCTTTACTGTCACTCCCGCCCTTGTGGGAAGAGTAGGCTGTCATTCCAAAGCCCCGGCCCTCGGAGAAACACCATCACACATTAGCTTCTAGGTAGACTTTTCCTCCCAACCCTGCCCACACCCAACCATCTCCCCACCTGCTGCCAAGCTAGCCAATTCATGACACTTGGGAAAACAGAAGAGGCTGAGGAGCGACAATATTAAAAAAGGGGTCAGAGTAGCTTCTCTTGCTTTGCCTAAAGAGATAAAATCCTGAAAAGGTGATGCTTATAAATCTAATGCATGAACTGCTGCTGCACAGGAAGTCATCTCATAGATCAAAGACCACAGGCAAGATAAGCCCCCCTCCCCCAGCCAGATTTATGGTTAGCTACTCCTAAGGTTTACACAACAAGCAGCTCTTCTTTGAGAGGCCCAGAAGGAACTCTGTATCCAAGCCAGAGTCTTAAAGTGAGAAGGAAACTGAGGCCAAAGGTTGAATGAGACCAGAGTCGGCTTCCTCCGGAAGATCAGGTGGGCTCACCTGTTTCACTGTGGCCACCATCCGGGCCATCAACATGATGCTTGCAGTCTCAGGGGGGTAGTGAACACTCCTAGGGAGAAAGAAAAAGGTTTGGCCTAGAAATTCCCTTCCCAGTAGCTGAATTCAGGGAAGCCTGGTCTGACTGCTACAGGGAATCGTTCCTACCAATCCCATTCATAACTGAAGAGGGAAAGCTATTGGCAAGGACATGGGCAGGACTTTACATCTCTATGGGCTTAATGGGGCTCTTTCTGGGAGTGTGTAAAATGCTGAGGATGGTGGGACTGGCAGCTCAGATTTAAGGCAGAGGTGAAATGACCTCTGTTTAGCCCTAAGAATGGAGGAAAAATCCAGAGAGTGGTAACTTAAGAAAGATGGCTACATCTGCTGAGCGCGGGGAAGACAGGCAAGGAGGGAAGGATAAAGGAGAGAAGAGAGGAAATGCTACCTACCTCCAGGCCTCCTGCAGCTTATTGAGAGGATGCGCGGGGTCATCCTGGGAGGGGCCCGGGCACAGGATCTGATGGTATTGCTCAGCCGCGGCCAGTCGACATTCTGCACTGCAGTACGTCACCTGGCGGGGAGGTGGAGGTCAGCACCCGAGGATCCGGCCTGGGGTGAGGCACAGGCACCTGCGTGGCCTCACCTCCTCTAACTTCAGTCCTCCCACAAACGGCCCCCGAGCAGCCGTCAGCGGTATTACGGTATCATGAGACGAGCAGGCACTCAGTGCTCTCGGGCATGTGAGGGGGCACCTGCCCCAGGCTTTAAAACCTGGGAAGAAGAGACTGCTTCTCAGGGACAGGGAGGGGCCCTGCCAGGCTCAGAGGAAGAGGGCAAGCTCCCAACAAGCCTGCTTTCTGGACAGTGGGACTGGAACAGGGTGGACGAAACTGGAATAGTAACGCAGTCTTTTCAATGTCTTTCCCGCCCCTGGGGCTCTGAAGGGCCTGTCTCCCCAGAGGGGACTTCAGCTCCGCCCAGGGCTGCTTACCCGGCAGTGGGGGCAGTTCTGGTGCAGGTCTTTGCGCACGGTGCACAGCTCGGGGTGCGGCAGAACCTGGCCTGGCTTCCCAGTCAGTCTCTGCGCGTTTTCCTCTGCCTTCTCCAGTGCCCGAAGACAGTGGTCACAGGCTGGGGGAGAGAGCCAGACATGTGTGTCTCAGAGCAGGGGCTGCATTTGTCCTTTCATAGCGATAGCCACAGGGCTAGGACAGCACCTGGCTCACAGCAGATGTTTTAAGGGGTGAGTAAATGAATGACCATGTTAAAGAATGGAATGAATGAATCAATTTCAGATGCATTCAAATATAGATGACACCTTCTTCCCGCTCTGGAGTCTCCACCCCTCCTAGCAGACTCTCCCTGCTTCTCCATGGGACTTAGTCTATGGGGCTCTCCACCCCTTCCCCCAGACGGCTTTCCCCACATTCTGGAGCTTACTGACTCTCCTTTCACAGATTTTTCTCTAGCCCAAGGAAAGGGTGAAAAAAGCAAGTGGCTGGCAAAGCTAAGAGCATCCTGTTTGTTTCTGACCCCTAATGCAGCCTTTTTTGAACAGGGGGCATGTGGTCTCTTCTTGGTAGGGGGCTCCACTTTGGCACAGAGCCCTTCATGATGATGCTGAGTTCCACCTGAGTGACAGGCCTCCTCCAGGGTACCCTTTGGAAGAGCTTCTTTGCTACAGGCTCACAGCCCCAGACAGCCTGAGACTAGACAGAGGCCTGGTTCTCAGGCACAGTTCTCCAAGAGAAGATGTGCTTTCCCTCCTGACACCGGGAGTCCCAGAGACTGTCAGGGATACACGCGCTCTCCTCCAGGCCCCAAGGCTGCTGGGCCCAGCAGCCCTCAGAGTGGGCGAGATGAGCTCACCTCGGTAGCGATAAAGTGCATTCCAGAGAAACTGCGCAGCTACCAGGGGCCGTTCTACGAATATGGTCTCCCCCTTCCGGATCAGCTGTGTGGCAAACAGCCCCTTTCCCTAAAAGGGCAGAGAAGGAATAGGATGGCCGTAAGAAGAGACAGAGGACAGAGCTTCAAGGGCTCCTCACTTCCATGTGCTTCCCTCTCGGCAGAGGCCTCTGCCTCAGGAGGGTCAGTCATGGAGCAACGTCAGCCCACTTCATAATCACCTCCGGAAATGCAGTTCTGCCCTACATTCAGTAGCACTTCTTCCAGCCTGTCCAGGGCAGAGGGCCTGGGATGGGAAGACAGCCACCATGTCAACCATGTTGGACTACACAGAGGAGCATTTTTAGCACAGCCAGAGGTTCACAGCAGGCTGGAGCTTCCATTACTAGGAGGTGGTACAGGGCCGCCTTGAGTCACCCACATGCCCCTCCAGGATTCTGATCGTGATGCTGCTCCTCCGGGTTGCAGAGAAATCCTACACTGTGGGAGGGGGAGGCCTAGTTTGCAGGAGAATGTGTCCTACTTCCCTGGTCAGCTCGGTACTCACAGTACCTCGCACAGTACCTGGTGCCCAACAAGTTCTCAGGCGTTACACTGAAAGTAATGACTAATCCTAGCACTAGTCCTAAGCCTAGCTTGCTGTGAAACGTTGAGTCAACTGCCTTTTTCCATCTGTTTACCATGTGAAAAGCGAGTATTATAATAATACCTACCAGGTAGTTTCCAGGATGTAATGATATAGCACAGGTGAAGGAACCCCATGCACGCCATACTACTCAAAATGAGGTGATGGACTGGCAGCATGGGGATCGCCTGGGAGATGTTAGAAACACACAATCTCAGGCCCCACTCCAGATCTGCCACATCAGAACCTGCATTTTAACAAGATGCCCAGGTGATTCACATGCACGTTAATGAGAAGTCCTGGTCTAAAGCACTGCAAACACCACGTATGGGATGAAAGATGAGAAAACAACTGTTGAATTGTCATCTCTCAAATGTGCTTCCCCGGTGGCTCAGACGGTAAAGCGTCTGCTTANAATGAAAACCTGGCCTTCCTCTGTGGGACGCAAAGATATTATGAACAGGGACCCACATTACTTCTGACAGTCATCAGTCTTGATATTGGATAAGCACTGATCTCTTTCTCCCTCTTTCTGGAGGACCAAACGGAAGAAATATTTAGTAATCAATGCAAAGGGAAGAATCAGAGCTGTTCCTCTATGAAACTACTCATCCCCAAAACATATGAAGTGTTTCAAGAAAAAAATAGCTCTAATTCATGTTACCAAGAAGTCTGGAGAGAAATGAACCTGAACCTGAATGTAAAGGGTACAAACTATGCAAAGTTATTTGCAATTTGAAAAGTAAGCTTTTTTTAAAAAAAAGATTGTACAACAAAAATTTAAGACTCAAGTAAATAAATTCTTTATTATTTTCTAGGAAAATATCAATTGCCAAAAGTGAATTCAACAGGAAGGAAGCCAAGACAGACTAACAAGCAACACCAGCACCTTCCTGATGTGCACCAGTACAGCATCTCGGTTGACATTTATCATATTTGATTAGGTTTCTGTTCTGACCGGTCATAACCCTGGCATAGCAACTGAAAATCATTCTTGCCAATATCCACAGAGGCAACACAGAAAGTGGTCAAAAATCAACCCCACATGAGGCCCCCAGTCTATATGGTTTCATAAATCAGCTCTCTTGAACCAAGTAAGTAATTCTTATGCTATTTAAACTATTCAGTAACAGAGGGGGAAAAATGGGAAGTTTCTCTATTTTACAAAACAAAAAGCCAAGTATAACTCTGATGTGGTAACCTGAGGAAGATACCATAAAGGAAAAAGAAAAATCACAAACCAATCCCACTTGATGAATACCAGATGCAAAAAGGATAAGCCATCTTGTCACCAAGTCTGGGTACATGATTCTTCTGCAGCAGCACATAAGCTGCGGGCATAGAGAGGGAAGCCAGCTCCTTCTTCCAGAGCTGGGGTTTGGATGGAAGGCTGGAACTGGACAACTGGGCAAGGAGAGTGGCTGAAGTGATGTAAGAGGGAAGAACTTAAAAAAAGAAAAAAAAAGGAGGGGTTCAGAGACGTGAGCAAAGTGAAAGTAAAGGTGAATATCTCTGCTTGCTAGGAGTGATGGAACTGAAACACCATCGAACTGTGAGCCAATGAGAGCACTGCAGGCCTTGAGGTGGAGATGGAGTTGTGGGCAGTGAGGAGCCCAAGGACATAGGGGAGCTGATTTACCACCTTAAGAGAGGAATGCTCCAGATGCCTTTGGAGTGGAAAGAGGACAATGGAAGGTTAGGTTGGGGAACTGTGAATATCATGATGCTGAGAGCAGGAGCCAGATGACTAGAAGGCTGACATACAGGGCAAGGAGCAAGGATACACACTACTACTACAAATGATAAATTATTCAACCTCATTAGTAAAGAAATACAAATGAGAACAAAGCAGTATCATTTTGCACATATCAACTAATAAAGATAACCAAGAAAGAAAATAGTGCTGGTGAGAATAAAAGGATGTGTGCACAGACACTGAGCTTCACCATCTTTGACCTCAGGGGTGGAAAACAAGATACAATGTAAGGATCCATAAATGAACGGTTGTTGAGTGAACAGTGGTCCTCCCATGAAAGACTATTACTCAACTCTTAAAAATTAATACCTAAAAGTAGGATTACTGATACTGAAATATATACTGCTGCATCAGAAAGCAGCCTAAAAATGTAACTTTAATATGCACATATTTGCACAAATACAAGACTATGAGTGTTTTACTTTTCCTTTCCTTACATGCACTTTCGAATTTTTTCTACACTGAACTTTAAAACACGACAGTAAAAGACAAAATGTCATCCTTTTGATTTAAACCCTTCAATGTTACCACGGGCTTCGGTCCAAATTCCTTAGCACTCCAAGACCCTTTGTGAAGTGTCCTGGCCTCTCTCCTCAACCCCCCCACCCAAATCTCACTCAGAAAGTTTCTTGATGGCCCACGCTTTATAGTACCGCAGCTCCCTCTGCCTTGCACGTCCCGCCCAACAGCTCCCAGGATCCAGCAGCAATATCCCCCGGCCTGGCGCTCCCCAGCCCAGCTGGCAGAAAGGCCGGGTTCCACGGGAGGAGGGGGCGCGCACGAAGACTCCGTGGGCCCCAGCCCACCGCGTGATCGCCCTGAAAGCCTGCACGCGGGGACTGACACGGAGACCCTGGGCCGCGCGAGCCGGGGCCGGACATCAGTGTCCCAGCGGCAGAGGAGCCTCTAAGCTGCAGGCATGGGGTCCCGCGGGGCTGTCTCCAAGGCCGGGTTGGGTGGGGGACCTCGGCACGGTTCGCCGCGGCCTCACCTTGGCGCTGCTCACGAAGCGGACTTCCACTGCGACCCGGGCCGGGCCCGCCACGCCCACGCAGAAGGAGAACACGTCGCACATGGAGGCCGCCATCTTGGGCGTACCTCCGCCTTCTGACCCTTGACCCAGCCTCGACCCGGGAGGCCCCGCCCCCTGAGGCCCCGCCCCCAGCGTGCGTGTCCGTGAGGCCAAGCGGGTTTGCGCACGAGCTTTTGAGCGACGTGTGTGTGTAGGTCGAATGGTTAGTTGACTGGGTGTGGCTGGGCCTGCCTAGTGCTTTTCCATCTGTGCAGTTTTGCCTCTATTTTTGTGGCCAGTACCAGAGTGTGCGTGTGTCGTTTTGATGTGTGTATCAGTGTCTGAACTCGAGTTTGTGTCTGTTGTGTCTGCCTCCCAGTGGCCTGTCTTATCAGGTGCTCTTTGGACTCAGCCTAAAGGGAAGAGCTAGCTGACCACTCTTAGCCATCCTACAAAGTCCAGCGCAAGATTTCCTATTTCCCCAGGCACTCTGGCATGGGGCAGACAGTCCTATGAAAGATCAAGCTGGAAGTGTGTCTTCCTCAGACGCTTCAGGGGCATAGGGATCTTGTCGCCTGGAGGGTCTCAGGACCATGAAGCTGTGTACAGAAGTGAGTCTGCATATGCAGATTGTCCTGACTATGGGAGAGGGATCTAGTCTCTTGCTCAGGACTGACCCCTGTCTCTCATTTTGTTCCCTCCTCTTCCAGTGGATCCTGTGCTACTTGACATAAGACCTGTGTCTACATCTGCTGTGGTCTCATGGTGACATTTAACGATTGGATAGAGCTGGGTATCTGCTGAATAGGTATCTGCTGACTGGTGATTTTTTAAAAACGGGAGCCAACGTTTCCTGGAATAAGCACATGCAGCTCTGTTCCTTTAATGGAGTTGACTGGATCCAGCATTAGGAAGGATTTCCTGGAAGACAGGAACAGAAGGTTCTTGAAGCTGGACCCTGGCCTCCCCGCTCCCTCCAGCTGCAGCCTGGTATCCTCGAAACGATGGTCCACTGCCTCAGGGACAGATAGTTTCCTGAGGACGCCTGCTCCTTAACTTTCCTCCCTCCCTCAAGAACTCTGAAGAGCAGCGTGGACCATGCCCCCTCTCACCACCAGGTGTCAGGGCACACCTCCTTCCACCAGCTCATCTTGACACCCAGAAGTCACCCTATATTCTAAGGGGATACCATCAACAGAGGCCAGCCAGGAAATGTGAAGTGCTAGCGAAATTAGCTTTGGAAATGTTGATGGCAGACTTCACAAGGGGAGGCTACAACATACACTTATTGGAGAGAAACTGAATGGTTCCCGGGAAGGAATGGAAGCCATGAGAACTGGCTGTGAAGGGTTTGGGGAAGTAATATAGCAGAGTTTATGACAAAATGCCAGTTTTGGCAAAGGCACAGTGAAATCTCTCTACTCAATATAAAGATGGCTAGAGGGTCAAGCCGAGTAGCTAGAGGGGAAAAGATGGTGTTCAGGGTAGCATGTCTGCTCCAAGGAGGCAGCTGGGCCTGAGTTCCTTCTATGAGTGGTTAACAGTTCAGACAAAACTAAAAAACTTCAGGAAATTTTGTGAGAGTAAGTGGGCTAAATGGTCTACCTGTTCTTCTTTGCTCGCAGTTCCACCATTTCCAATGGGGAAGAGTCTTCAATGCCCGGATACTGATTCAAGGAGGCCCTCTCCTCTACAGCGAGGTCAGGCAAAGATTAATCTCTGGAGAGGCCGGGGCTGAGGTATTACTCCCACAGGTGAAGGGGACCCATAAGCCTTAGTAGTTACTGCACTCTTAGTGCCGAGCCTGGCACACTCTTGTGTTTTACAGACATCATCTCAGCCCTGGGAGGTCAAAGTTATCTACATAACCCATTCTACAGGTGGGGGAAAAATCCTCAGAAATTCAGTAACTTGGCCAAGGACATAGCTGAAGGCCAAAGTCTGTACCTGTGACCATTTGCATTATTACAACCCCCACAGGTCGATACAGAAAAAGAGGGCTCCTGCTTTACAGTTCAGATTTTCCTGGTGCCCTTTGACCTGACAGGCTCTTCATTAAGAAATGAAACAACGAGGTCCAATGGGTGCTTCCAGGAAGAACTAGCCCAGCCTGGACTGAGCCTTTGTTGCAGTCCTCAGCTGTCCATTCCTGACTCGGCGTCTTCTCTCTGGATGCTGGTGTCGGAGCTGCTGGAGGGCTCATCTGGGGAGGCAGCCATGGCAGATGTAGCTGGCATTTTCAGCCTTTGCTGCTTCTGATATTTGACCCTTCGGTTTTGGAACCAGACTCTCACCTATAATTGAGGCAGTGAGAAGAGATCAGAATGTGACTAACAGTTCCCACTGCATCCCCCATTCCCACAGTGCCCACTCCTCTCTGAAAATTTACTTTTTATTCTAAGGGAAGCACACCCTTCCCTCTAATTCCAGTACCATTCATTCACCCAAGTATTTACTGAGCTCCTGATCTGAACTCTGGAGAAGGAAATGGCAACCCACTCCGGTATTCTTGCCCCAAAAAACCCCATGAACAGAAGAGCCTGGCAGGCTACAGTCCATGGGATTGCAACGAGCCGGACACGATTGAGCACTTGTGTACTGGCTTCACTTTAAACATCCACGTCTGAGGCAGTGCTGGCCCTTCCCAGGTGATGGTGATTATGGTGAAGTACGAGCTCTGCCCTCATGGAGCTCACAGTCTAGTGGAGGGAGACTAAAAACAAACATGGAAACAAATATATAAACACAAATGAGGGTACAAATAGGAGTTTGAGCCTCCCTGAAGAACCTGCACTTAAGCTGAGGCTCAGAGGATGAGAGGCTTGCCTGCTGGGGACAGAGAAAAGCAAGCCAGGGCAGGGGAATCAAGCTTGGAGTGTCTGAGGATCAGAAAGGAGGAAAGCATGGCAGACACACCTGAGAAAGGGGAAAGCAAAGGAGGAAGTGGAAGAGGTCAGTGGGGACCAGATCACCCAAAACTGTGAAGGCCATGGATTAGAAGTGTCACTTTCAAGTTTTTTAGTGGGATGTGACATAGTCCTATTTACATCAAGTACACTGCACATCTGGCAGCAGGTGAAGAATGGATATAAGCAGATTTGAGGAGATAGCTGGGGAGACTATTGCAGTGATCCAGCAATAGCTGGGGCTGCATACTCCCTTCCCTGTATCATGAGAAGAACAGTCCCATTTGAAACTGGGGGCAGTGGAGAAAAATGAAGTGATTCCAGTTGTATTTTGGAGGTAGAGGTGAAAAGCCTGGCTGATGGATTGGAATTGGGAGAGAAAGAGGAATCTAAGATGACTGAGTATTTGAGCAGCTGGGAGGACAATGATGCCATGTGTGGGGAAAGGGAAAGATTGGGGGGGGGGGATGGAATCAAGAATTGAGGTTTTGACTTGTTAAGTTTGAAATGGCTACCTGCAAGACACCCAAGTGGAGGCCCCAGGAAGGTGGTTAGTTGCACAAGTCAGAAAAGAGGGGTGGGCTGAAGATACAAATTAGGGAGACACTGGCTTAAAAATGGTATTTAAAACCCATGGGGATAGATTAAATTATCTAGGGAGGAAAATTTGAGGCCACAAAGAGAAGAGTTCCCTACAAAGGGAACCGAGAAGGGACTAGAGAGCTGGGAGAAAAACCAAGAGAATGTGGTGTCTGGAAGCCAAGAGAACTGTGGGTTTCAAAACAGAAGGAGTGGTTGATTGTACTGAATGAATGGGGTAAGATGAGGGAAGAAAGAATATGGTGACTTTGGCATCATGGAGGTCATTAGAGACCTTGATGAGAAGTTTCAGTGAAATGGCAGAATGAAAGAATTCACACTGCAGTGAATTAAGGAGTAGATGGGAGGTGAGGACATGGAGAGAACATAGCCAGTTCTTGAGAAATTTGCCTGTGCAAAGAGCAGAGATGATGCAGTAGCCAGAGGGGAACATAGAGTCAAGAGAATGTTTATTATTTTTAATATTTAGTCTCTTTAATACCAACTTAATTTCACTGTCAGCTCCTTACTTAGCATGGAAACATTATATTATAAAGTTCTAGATTAACACCAAGTGTTGTTTCCATAACATGAGTTCAAATAGGACTATTTTCCTCATCGTATAGAGAAGGGAGTGTGCCAGTGGTTAGGGCCCGTATGCCCCATTAGCCTGGCACAGAGAAAGAGGCCCGTAAATTCCTTCCAGCCCCGACCCAGGGTTTTCTGAGAGAGTAGTAACTGTCCCTGGGTGCAGCCCGAGCCCCACAGGAGTCCCTGCGCTCACCTGGTTCTCTGTGAGGTTGAGCTGGGCTGCCAGCTGGGCTCTCTTCTTCCCCACTATATTGTGCTGTTTTGCAAACACTTTCTCCAATTCTTCCAGCTGCTCCAAGTTAAACACGGTTCGAATCCTCTTTGGGGATCTCTCAGTGTCCTGAAGGTCCTGAGCGTGGGCCCAGTCTTGGGGATCCCAGAGGCCTAGGCAGTGAACTAGCTCCAAGCCTGCAGAGCAATTAGCAGGAGGAAAGGTTAGCTGTAACCCCCTACCGTCTCATCTCTCATCAGGAGAGAGAACAAACTCACAGCTTCACTGCCCTGTCTTACCCTTGGCCAGGTAACAACACAGCAAGAAGGCAGGGTGGGAGGAGACTGCGCAGAAATAAAACAAATGAAAAAGAAGGCCATGGAACTCTGCTGAATGTTATGTGGCAGCCTGGATGGGAGGGGAGTTTGGGGGAGAATGGATATACATGTTTATGTACGGCTGAATCCCTTCTCTCTATGTACAGCTTGTATCCTGCACACAGGTACCCAGCTGAGAGGGTAAGTGGAGTCTGGAATTCTGTCTGCTCTTTGCAAGCCTGTTCTCCCTCCCTGACAAGGTGTTGTGTTTGCATGAAGTTAGGAGGTGCCCTTTTCTAACGCACATAAGGGTGCTATTCAGCTCATAGAGCTGTGGGCCAGTGGACATGCAGATTGGTCTACCAGGGGCAGTACCTGACTCATAACTCCAGAGGAGTGAGGAAGTAAGCCACTGGGCTAGCTTGGAGGGAAGTGTTCCAGACAGAGTTCTGGCAATGCAGTGCTAAGACTCCTCAGCTCCCACTTACCTTGGGGAGGGGCTCCAGGGCTAGCAGACAAAACTGCCCCAGTGAAGGGAGTGAGATCTGGCTGCCTAAGACCCCTGCCACTGGGCCCAACTGGCTTACATAAGCATTAATAGCAAAATGTAAGAAATCATCAATGGAGCCAGATTTAAAATATGGTATATTCTTACAATGGACCATTCTGTGGCCTACAGAAGCTCTGTGTGGACTTATAAGGAAAAATCTCTGATACATGGTCAAGTAAAAAGAGTAAGGTGCAGAGCAGTGTGTCTAGTATGGGGGCAGGGGTTAGAAGAATGCATGTGTGTGTGTGTGTATATATATATATATGCATATATTTTCACAACTACACATGTGTGTGAGCCCAGACAGTAAAGAATCTGCCTGCAATGCAGAGACTCAGGTTCAATCCCTGGGTAGGGAAGATCCCCTGGAGGAGGGCATGACAACTCACTCCAGTATTCTTGCCTGGAGAATTCCATGGACAGAGGAATTCCATGGCAGGCTACAGTTCATGGGGTCACAAAGAGTCAGACATGACTAAGTGTCTAACACACACACACACACACACACACACGTCCAAGTATTAAACAGTATAAAATACACTGGAAGAATAAAGAAACTGGTATCTGGCTGCCTGTGGGGTGAGGAGAACCAGGCGGCTAGGGGAAAGGAATGATAAACTCTTCTCCATACTATAACTTTGTAGTTAACATTTTGAAGTTTGATCTGTGTAGATGTAATACCCATGCAAAAACCAGCGAGGTATTTCCCTGGTGGTCCAGTAGCTAAGACTTGGTGTTCCCAGTGCAAGGGGCCTGGGTTCAATCTCTGGTCAAGGAACTAGATTCCATGCTGAAACTAAAATATCCCACATGCCTCAACTAAGACCCAGCACAGCCAAATATATATATACATATATATATAAACTAACTTGAAAATGAGACAACAGTAATACAGAGTAGAAAGTTACAATTCAGACTTCAGGTGTGTGGGGACGTTAGAAAAAGGTGGCTTGGAGTGAGGGCTATGGCTCTCATGAAAGTGAAAGTGTTAATCGCTCAGTCATGTCCAGCTTTTTGCAACCCTATGGTCTGTAACCCACCAGGCTCCTCTGTCCATGGAATTCTCCAGGCAAGAATACTGCAGTGTGTTGCCATGCCCTTCTCCAGGGGATTTTCCCAATTCAGGGATCAAACTGGCATTTCACAATCAGATTCTTTGCCATCTGAGCCACCAGAGGTGGCTCTCATTATGTGGCAAGAATTTGGATAGTGCTTGGCAGACCAGGGTTTCTCTCCCACATTGGTGGGAGGAATGTCCAGCTGAAGGGAGGCGAGGAGACACAGGGTGGGGGGAACCCAAGAAAGACTGTTTTACCAGGATCTTGGTTTGGGTTGATAAGGTTTGCACTAAATTTGCTCCTGTTTTCCCTCATGGGAGCCATGGGGATGCATGAACCAGATAGCCAAAAATGGCAAAAACCTCATGTAGGTGGATGTTAATGCTAGAGGTGAAAATTACCCCAATGGTTAAAGTCTCCTGGGGATTTAAGTGACTGCACTCCAGGGCCCAGAGCCCCAAGGAGCCATTCTAAGAGTTGAAGGAACCTGGCTCAGAGCAGTAAAGTGCGGAAGCTAAGCTCACACAGAGGTGAGCAGTGGAGGCTGTAACCTGGTCGGCTAACATCCAACAGCTCCTCGCTCTGGCTGAAGGGTACCAGTAGCAGCTGCTTCTCCAGCTGAGTTGGCCGCGCTGGGGGAATGCCTGCTCCATCAAGCGCTGTGCAAAGCAGGTGCGGCCGGGAGCAAGGGCCTCCCCCACTCCCTAGTCCAGGGAGGGCCGGGCTGCCTGCAGCCCTGCGCTGATCCTGGTTGTCCGAGCCCCTCTCGGGCCTGCCCTCACCTTCCTCTCTGCACACGTAACCCCGCCCCCCACACACACCTTCTCCCACCTTAGCGGCAGGCCAGATGGTCTCCCACCCGGTCTGGGTCCCTCTCTCCGCCCGGTATCACCTGCAGAGGCAAGGGTCATACACTTGACATCCACTCCAACCACGGGTGGCTCTCAAACTCGGGGACTTCTCCTCTATCCTGTGCCCACCGTGGCGGCCGTCCACTCCCTCGTACCTGTGATGCTGAGACCCTGGAGGCCGCAGAAGTGGGAGGCGAAGGGCCGCAGCGCAGGGGGCTGGGGGCACCGCTGGTGCAGCCCCGCGCTCAGGCGGGCGGGCAGCCACGTCGGCGGGCACGCGCCGGGCAGAGCCTGGGCGGGAGGCCTGGCGGGCACGTTCCAGAGGTCCCCGTGGGCGCCAGCGGAGACTGGCAGCGGGGAGGCGGTGGGCGCGCAGGGGTCAGGTCTGGCCAGGATGGCCTCAACGGAAAAGGAGGACTCGAGGCGTCCGGGCGCGCGGGGTGGGCTTGGATTTGCAGAGCCGCGCGGCAGCGCGGGGGTCGCGGGCACGGGAGAGCGGCTGGAGCGCGGGGGCTGGACCCCGGCGCCCGAAAGAGGGAGCGGCCGGCAGCCCCGCGGCCCGGGGCTGGGCATGGCGCGGCCCTTGCTTGGAAGGGCCCAAGGAGGGGAGCTGGGGCCTTTGGGCTGTGTGGGCAGCGCGGGAGGACACCTGCTTTAAATAAGGGAGCGGGCCTTGTCGGCCAGGAACGGTCACAGCTGTCTCCCGTGGCTCTTAAATTGGACAGGGCGGGGCCGGACTGGCCGGACCTTTCCTTCCCATGCCCCGGTGGGCGCCGCCTCCCGCGGGCAGGACCCCCTGACGTTCCAAAGCGCCGGGCACCTTAGCGCCTTTCCTCCTTCCTCCTAAAAAAATATCCCCATCCTGTGCAGTCGGGAAAAGGACCCTGAACTCCCTGTAGCTTGCTGGTGATCCCAGGCGAGCCACCCTGCAGTGCCGCGACTTTAGATTTTGGCTTATCCGCTCACTCTCTTCGAAAGCCCTGGCCACATTCACCTATGACTTTGCAAGCCCTTAAATAAAAAATTTTTAAAAATTAAAAATGGAAATATCTTGTTTAGGCACTGAAAAATAAATTTCCCACCTTTTCCTGCCTGGAGACACTGCTGTAGTTATCAATTTCTTTTGTGTCTCTCCAGGGACTTTCTGCACTCACGCATTACTTAAACCTCACTGGAAAAATCTTTCCGGTATCCAAAAACAAAAAACCGGAAGGGTAATAAATATGAATTTATTGCAAATGCATGGGAGTTGGTGTCCTACAAAACCTGCCTTATATAAGGTGTAAGGCAGGCATTTGCATCTCCCTTTTAGAGTTGGATAATCGGTATTTACTGATGTCCTTGGGCAAGTTGCAAGTTACTGTTTCAATGTCTTCGTCTGTAAAATAGATAGTAATAGTAGGTACCTGGTAGTCACATAAGAGTTAATGCACATAACCCATTTAGGATTGGCCAGTGAGCAATATGCAGTGATTGCGGCACTGTAAGAAATTCCTGCCTTCCGGGTTCCTGTAGTATTACGCCTCCTCAAATCAATGCCTAACATTGAAACCACTCTAGCAGGCCGAGGCGCAGTTCAGTGGCATTGTCCATAGGCGTCAGCTCTTTGGAACACCAAAATGCCATCTGCTCTGCTAAATAAGGGCTGGAGGAAACCTTGCTGGGTTCCTGTCCCTCCCCACTTCCCACTTCAGCAAATACTGGCCCTGCCTTCTGAACAACACCCCCAGCCCACCCCCACCCCAGGCAGTCTGCAACATGAGATTGTGGGAAAAACGAAGAACAGGTGTCCCATCTGACCCCAGGTCTAGGTCTACTGTGTTGTGGCCAGAGAAGGCAGGGTCAGAATGAGGATACAGCAATCAGAGCCCCAGGGAAGGGGCCTGGGTGGGAAGGACTCTCTCTTCCGGTGAGGTCAGATCCACTGGGAGTGGGAAAGTTCTGGACCCCATAACTTTCAAATCTTACACATACTATTTCATTTCTCAGCATGTTTCTTTCTTTTTCAAAAAAAAAAAAAAATTGGCTGCACTGGGTCTAGTTGACAAGGGATGGAACTCCTGTTTCCAGCATTCGAGCGCCAGTCTGAGCCACTGGACCATCAGGGAAGTTCCCCTCAATGTGTTTCTTTTTGAGGAGCTTTTCGTCCAAGAGGTAGAGTCTGAGTTGACAATGTCTACCCCCAGGACCACCCAGACTGCAGTGCTAAAGTACCAAAAGTGGGCCTTATGAGGAGGGATACAGACACTGCTTTTTTTGGGCCTACAAGGATAGCGACTTAGGTGGCTGGGGAACAGTGGAGCAAGATGATGGAAAATGTGGATTTTGGAGTTGGACAAACCTGGCCTCAAATCCCAACTTCGTCACCGAACTGTAACTTCAGATAAGTGGTCTATTCACTCTAAGCCTCATTTTCTTATAAAATGGGAATGATCTCTTAAGTGAGAAAATAATACTTACCTAATGAGCTTCTTATAAGAGTTGAATGAGTTTGAGTTTTTAGCTACATGATAGCTATTGTGGGGAGGAGAGAAGCTATTTACAAAAACAGCATGCACCCTGGAATCAGGGGGAGTTGACAAAGAACAAGAAAAAACTTGTAAAATAGAAGATGTATGAAATCTTTGTTAAGTCTGTACTGATTTTTAGGTAAAAAGTGTGGTCACTGTGTCTCTAGGTCTGGGTTTTCCATACAAAATTCACTGTATTTCAGCACATTGTTATCTGTTTTCTATTGTTTGACTTATTTCTCTTCAAACTGTAAGTTCATGAGTATATAGATATTAATATCCCTAGTTTACATATGAGTAAATAGAGCAAGAGAGGTTAACACACTGCCTAGGTTCAAATCCCCTATCTATGTGACCTTTAGAAAAATGTATTTTAATTTACATTTATTTCCCTGAAAACTCTTTAGGCTGAGCTTTTGGATATCAGCCATTTGGATATCCCCTTTTGTGTGAAACCCCTGTCCCAGTGGTTTCCTTATGTTTCCACTGGGCTACTATCTTTTTCTTATTAATTTGTAAGAGTAGTTAGAGATAGATGTTTTGAGATAAAGACTTTTATTACAATATATATAGATGCAAATATTAATATCTTCTTCCACTCTGTGGCCTGCCTTCTCATTCTTTTAATACTTTCTTTCGATGAACAAGATAACTAATTGTAATAAAGCTTAACAATCTGCTTTTGTGTCCTTCAAGAGAAACCTTTTTGCCTATTTGAAGCCATGAAGATATTCTTTTGTGATTATTGATAGGTATGCCCTTATTGACATTTTAATTGTTTCCTGGTTGTTTGTAGGTTTTTTTTTGTTGTTGTTCCTTTTTCTTTTGCTCTCATCCCTTTTGATTTGATGACTATCTTTAGTGTTATATTTGAATTTTTTTCCTTTTGTGTGAGTCATAAGTGAGTTCCCTTGTATGTAACTAATGATTTTCTCTTGCTGCCTTTAAATATCTTTATATTTATAGCTAAGTATATTTATGTCTAAATTATATTTATGTCTAAATATAATTAAGTATCCTTCATTTTTGCTATTTTAACTGCAGCATGTCTTGGTGTGGACTTCTTCAGGTTCATCTTATTTGGAACTCTGTGATTTTGGGGCCTGCATGTGTTTCTTTTCCCAGGTTAGAGAAGTTTTCACTTATCAATTCTTTGAGTAAGTTCTTTGCCCCTGTTTTCTCTCTCTTCTCTTTCTGGGCATCTGGAATGTGAATGTTAGCATGTTTGATATTGTTCCAGAAGTCTCTTAAACTGTCCTCATTAAAAAAATTGTTTTCTGTTCAACTTGGGTGATTTCCATTACTCTGTCTTCTAATTCAGTGTTTTTCTGTATCATCTAATCTACTGTCGATTCCTTCTTCTTCTTCTTCTTCTTTTTTTTTTTTTGGTATAAAGCAGCACAGATTTATTATATTATAGTTCTAGTGGTCAGAGTAAAAACTGGATCTCTTAGGACTAATTCAAGATGTTGACAGGGTTGTCTCCTCTCTGGAATCTCCAAGGGAAGAATCTATTTCCTTGCTAGTCATTTCTTATTTAATCTGTTCTCTTGCTTTTCTCAAGCTTCTAGAGGCTGCTAGTATGTCTTTGTTCTTAGCTAGCCTCTTTCTCCTTCAAGTGCAAGAGCATAACATCTTTACATCTTCCTCCCTTTTTCTGACATTCTTGCTTGCTTTGTTTTTTTGGCTGTGCTGGGTCTTCGTTGCTGTGCAGGCTTTTCTCTAGTTGTGGAGAGTGGTGGTTACCCTCCGGTTGCGGTGCAGACTCCTCATCGCAGTGGCTTCACTCATTGCAGATTATGGGCGCTAGGGCACGCAGCCTCAGTGGTTGTGGCTTGTGGGCTCTAGAGCACAGGCTCATTAGTTGTGGCATGTGGCCTTAGTTGCCCCACTGCATGTAGGACCTTCCTGGACCAGGGATGGAACCTGTGACTCCTGCATTGGCAGGTGGATTCTTTACTAGGGAAGCCCTTGCTTTCCTCTTAAAAGGACCCTTGTGATTACACTGGATCCATCCAAATAATCCAGAATTATCCCCTGCAACTCAAAATTCTTAGCTTGATGACCAATGACAATTTCACTTCAGTAATTATCTTCAAATCTCTTTCATCCTTCTTTATAAATTTCTGATGCCTTATTAAACTTCCCATGGTTCATCTACTCTTTTTCCTCAGTTTTTTGAGCATCTTTTATGATCAGTACCTTGAACTCTTTATTGGGTAGATTGCTTATCTGGAGATACGTAGACTTCACTTAGTTCTTCTTCTGGAGTTTTGTGTGGCTTCTTTGTTTGCAACATACTCTTCTACCTCCTCATTTTACTACTTCTCCATGTTTATTTCATGTGTTAGGTAGGTTGGTTACATTTCCTGATCTTGGAGAAATGATCTTATGCAGGTGACATCCTATGGGGCCCAGTATTACACTGCCCTCTGTCAGGGTGCCTCCTAAGCAGGCTTCATGGCCTTTTCTGTTGTGGTGAGGCTGACTACTATGGGCATGCTTGTAAGCGGGGTTGGCCCCCAGACCAACTGGCTGCCAGGTCCTACCTTGTGTGGTGGTTGCTGCTTGCCCACTGGTAGGTGGAACCAGGTCCTGGGGTGCCTGGCTGTGGGGGCTGGGAAGGCTGGTGCTGAGCCATTTGTCAGGCAGGGCTGGGTCCCCACATGTCTGGCTGCTCAGCCCTGGGGGTCTTGGGACTGGTTCTGACCTGCTGGTGGGTGAATAAGCTCCTAGCGTTATAAACTAGAGGGGGATTCCAAAACTCTACTTTGTAGCCCAGTGTCCTGGTAGAATGAACTCCCCAAATGGCTGCCTCTAAGGGACTACCAGTTGCTTCCTGCTTCTCTGGGAGGTTTTCCCAGGACCAGAAAGCAGGTCTGACCCAAGCTCATACGAATTACCGCCACTGTGTTGGAGCTCAGACTACATAATATTTTGGTGTGCCCTCTAAGAGCAGAGTCTCTGTTTTCTACTGTTCCTGGCTCTCTCATATGCAAGCCTTCAAAGCCAGATGTTCTGGGGCTCATCTTCTTGTACAGAACCCCCAGCCTGGGGGCCTCA